GAGATTATCAAATTTACACGGCACCTTACCTCCACTACAGAAAATGGAATATGATACGCTTAAAAGTTAAAAGGGTGGTCAAGCTGTACGAATATGCAGAGAGCGACAATCCTTAATAATGATCAAAATAAACCGGTATTTAGTGTATGGGAGTCGGCGGTGCATTCAGTGCATGGGGAGTTAAGGATTAAATTTAGTGTGCCTGACTTTTTTTGGGACGATGGAGGTCGTATCACTTTAACTAGCCAAAATAAGAAGAAGGTTCTGAAAACGAAGAAAAGACAACAGGCTCAGCAAATTTCACGCGTACATATTGTAAGTCAATGATATCGTTTCAAAGAAAAATAGTATGCGGCACGGTAAATAGCACACAAAAGCATTTTGCTGAAACGGAATGGCTCTTGAACTCAGGTTCTGTTCAACGCATTATTAGAAGCGGATTTTTGTTTTTGACAAGTGCAATGAAATTTAGTTGTAATCATTGCAGATGGGCGCAACGTTTATATAGTGTGAACACACTTTAAAAAACACTTCAATCGAAATTAAGACAACCAAAATTATAGTGCAAAATGCGCACGCAATTCCAATTGCATAAAAAATCTTCTGTCAGATAATTATCTTGTCAAGAAGATATTAAAACCTCATCAATTAAGACAGGCGCATCGCTGTATAAAAATGACGGTTTTAAAACTAAAACAGCATGACCGTACAACGTGATATAATCGGTTTTGTTAGACTGATGCGCATACGATAGGATCAGTAGTTATAGGCAAAACGGCAAGGTCAAATGACATTATCATCGAATGGCTGCGCAACTTTTCCAAAACGACTACGATTACGTGGCGACAGAAAATTATGATCTAGCAAAGCGTTTACATTTTACCTACAATAAGCGAAGAGCCTGACTGACATGTCACGAAATAAAGGAGGTGGAATTGAGAATGTGCAGCCACGAACTCTCAAATCAGGTTCAATTGACGACATAAAAGCTATAGTTAATGTTAGTATCAAGAATATCGTCTTTCTGCAAGATTAGTGAGGAGACAATCATGCGATGCACGTTAACGCAAGAAAGCACCAAGCTATAGACAAGTACATCAATGCGCGACATCTTCGACTTATTTCCGTTAGTGACTAATTTATTACAAGGTTTAATGATAATATGTCATGAGAGTCAATTCTATTTGAAGATGCAATAGATCCAACACGATCAAGATGAAATTTGTAGTGCGAAAACAACGGCATCCACCAATAGCTAACTTAACACGACTTACTATCTACAAATATAGAAAGGTAGAGATAACACATTTTCGACGACACAGGAGCATGATGTATAGTACTCAGGCATCTCGCTATCAGTGTTTTAAAGAACTACGAGATCAGTTATGGTTAAGAAAACAACTTTAGACACGTACAAATGGCAAAAGTTAGTCATATATTGAAGCTCTCACTAGGCACAAGACCAGCAGTATTGCATACTACAGTGAATTCAAAGGTCACGACTAATGTAAAGAGTAAGAACACGTGAAGAAGTACGAAAAAAGAATTTGTTGAATTTGAGGATGTGTGGAGGGTCGTCGCGAGTTCATCAAACGCACTAAATTCTCCAGTATTGTAGCATGACCGGCAAATAAGATAAAATAGATAGACAATGACAATTTGCCATGAATAACCCCCCACATTCGGTACGTGAGACGGAAAGAGCACAGCGATTCATTTTGATCTTGGCTCGGGCGACCTAGACGGCAACACCGTCGCTTTGGTCTGACAACTGATAAAAAACTGTCGCTGGCAGAGCGAGGCGAGAGTCGTTAAGTTTATGTGACTGCTCAAATGTTAAAGGCACAGCAATGGTGGTTACGAGAGTGAATAAGCCAATATCTGTCACTTTTTAAAAAGGTACTACATGAAGGAAAAACTGGATAGATGTGATGAATAAGAGCTATCTTAGCAATTCGAAAAGAGGCAATCGGGAGGTATTCTTCAAATCAACGACAAATTGAATGTCGTCGATGTCAAATGAAATTTTGAAATCGAAATTTGATGATGATGGTGATACCAAGCTCTTAAAAATAATTGTTGGTCGAGGCATTAGCCAAGATAATAGTGCTTGTTTTTTTAAAAGAAATTTTATATTGAAATTTAGGATAATCTGTGTGCTGATATTTGCTGCACTATCACGCTCGCTTGGACTACAACTTAATTTAGGTGACATTAAAAACGTACGCAACGGATTTGTTGTGGCGCATTCCTTCATGAAGGCACCACAGGAGCTAATAAGAAGGAGGAAAATGCACTCAAGATTCGAAATCCACTGTACGGACTTCAGCAGTCGTGTTACTGATGGAAAAAATCGATATACGCGTAAAATATTTCTGGAATCAAGACTTGACACTTACAACGATTGCGAGTAAGGCAAAACAGAGCGGGCCCTTTTGTGAATTTTAGGTAAATGGAGTGTCGACCACGTTACATGTGAGGATGATTAACGTTTATTTTTTATGGGGTTTAAGTGAGAGTAAGCATTAAAAAGCTAGTTTCTGTGCATGAAATTTGTAGGATTACATTTTTCGAGACCAATTGAAGCATTTTATGTTCCAGCAGAGCATGATCACTGACAAGATCATTCCGCTGAATCTTAAGCACGTAAAAGTTGTAGCAATTTGAACAAGCATTGTCTTAATTACAAAAGATTCGACGATGAAGATCTAGCTGCTCTACATCGTGTATTCAAAGAGCCCTCTTTGCTACTTTAGATACTGAATGCAACACGTCGGTATACAGCTTATGCTCCAAATTTTGCATTAAAACATTGCTAGAAGGCACGAAAGTATCATTGTAAGCATATCAAACGGACCTTTGACCGTCCCAGAAATAGTTTTGATCGTGTTCTACATCAGTAGAATTAAGGAGGCTGTTTCATTAGGCGATCATGACAAACACATAGAATGCGATTTCGATTGATCTGGTAAAAGAGTTGACCGAAAAGTGAACGGCTCATTCCTTGCACTCAATGGACTACTGGGTGGGGTAGGCGGTTACCAAGATGGCGACTTTTTACGCAAAATTCACCGCAGGTACGACAAGTGTGTAGGGATGTGGATGGATAAGTGAGCTTTATTAAAAGACTCTAATGTTTAACACTGTCATAGCCACCACGATGGATAATCAGAGCGCGATAAGATCGATGAAAACTACGTCATTGTTTCAGTGTCTAAAAAGCACATGACCCCAATATATCCTTAAATTAGAAAATTCACACGCAAATAACGGGTAAATGCCGAGTAATGATTCAGTGAGAGCCAGCTTTGCAGCAGTCACGACCAAACCGCTAGCCCGTAGAACCTTTGAGGATATCAATCGCCAAACGATCGTGTATTTTAGGTTACTATCACTGCGGAATAAGGAGGCGTGTCGTATAGACTGTTTTTCTACAACAACGCGAGTAACTAATGATCACAGAGGGTCGATATTGTCAAGATAGATTGCTGTTGGACTGATAAGGATTTAAGAATAAGTAGAAAGATGAAAGAGGAGAGTGAGGAAACAATTATTCTCGGCAGTGTTTTTTTAAAGGTTCAAATGATCATCAAAGAAAATTGCCTTAGCAAAGTTAGTTCCTACCACATTCAAAAACTTAAGGTAATATTTGGCCTGAGCAAAGCTAGAAAAAGTTCACATCTTGTCAGGTGAATTATTCACTGTAAATACTCATCCCGCAAAACGAATTCTAGCTAAACCGCAACTTTCACGTCTACCTCATTCAGCGTTTGAAGATAAAGCACGCCTTTGTGTTCATTCATGTTATGCTCACAAATTGGTATTTACCATTTGCAAAATACTTGATGTTTTAACGGGTTTGTCTGGACCGTCGTACCCGACGAACATCTGCACCGTACCCAACTCCCGTACCCACTGACTTAAGGTGTCATATCTATTGAAAAAAAGACAGCTTCATTCGATCTATCCGCAAAGAATGATACTTACATTCTGCATATCTAAGTGCATGGATCCCGAGCGAATAACAGGGTTTTGTACTTGTAATTGCACAGCTTACTTTTAATCATACCGTTTGCGAAGGTTTGCCGGATTCTGATGTAAAGCCACCAGGAAGACAAGCCCCCTATGTAACGGGGCCCCATTTGTTATGGGTGCCGCGAACATTTGCGTACACTAGTACGTGCAGAGGAAGATAATCTACTAAAACAGCTTGTTTGAGTAACAGGTAAAAAGGGAACTGTATTTAATACAGTTAAGCTATCAAGGTAACTTCAGTCTTTATCTAACTATATTAAACTACATTGTCGTATGACGACAACCCGCTCACCACTCAATACGCGCGTCTAGCAGGATTAGTGATAATCTTGGTAAAATGTCTTTTATTAACCAGTCTTTGAGCAGCGCATGAATATTATCCTGAAACGGAAATAATTTTTTTTCAGCATCATTCATCTCGGATAATATTATAAGGGAATTGTCACGCTAGACAAAAACCCTATCGACACCGTTTGGTGTCAATATCATGTGACAGGCTACTTCGTTGCACTGCAACCATCATGGATATGGATTTCTCCCGCGTGTTGCAGCCCCTTTTCGTCAAAAGAGAGATGGACATTGTCATATCCGGTCTTGACGCTTCCTGCTGACTACGAAGTTGTACAAGCGTAAGCCGGGAGAAGCGGTCACGACCTTTACAACTATCGGTACGGGAAGAGACATCGTTAGCTGCGTTACGTGAAGATACAAGGATATAAATGCTTACCGTGTTGCTTTGCTTTGCTGTTCTGTTCTGTGTATCCAATGGAAGACAGCAGTCTGATTGAATCTGTGGCTCTGACGCGGTCGTAGAATTCGACCTGGTGACGGCTGAGTACAACGACATTTGCTTAGGGTGTAAGACGTCGGTGGACAGGACAACATCGTTTCGCTGTGTAGTCGCTACTACCATAATAAACAGAGCCTAACCTTTGTGGTCGACACGAATTGTCACGATCGCTTGGATGCTGAATGAGGACGAGCTGTACCACATGCTGAACAAGGACGACCTTTGGGACGCAGAGCTGCTGGTTATTCCGAAGAAGCAAAATCTACCGCACGCCACGAACACGGCTGAAGTGACGGACAAACTGTGTCTGCACGGTCTATGCCACCGATAGTAAATAATTAGGCTTACAGTGCTACAATTGGTGGCAGCTGTTTAAGGTCTGCACTGGCTTTTGGCGTCTCTCCAGAAAGGAAAGTTGGTGACTACTCTCTGTCGCTTTGGGGCGTTGCTATCGTGTCTTCCTAGGAGTGAAGACATGGGAGCTTTGTAGATAGTAAAAGAAAGACGAGAGGTATTGCCGTGTAATGCTTGATTTATTTGTGTGAAATTACTTGCATGTCCACAGTTTGTTGTCACGAAGTACGTTTCCATCATTTTGTATTGCTAGTGACTTACAGTGAGATGTAATAAAGGGCGAAGTACAACGACTGTGCAGTTGTACGGCGCAAAATTGTTCATGTTGCCAAATGATTACTCGTTTCAGTTTTGAGTCGTGTATGATTTGTGAACATTTGACTGAACGAATGCATTACACGCTATCTGAAGCTGTAATGCCAAAAATCTAAAAAGGATATTAAAAAGTCTATCATGTGAAATTGTGTAGTGTATAAGCTTAGGGGTTTATAAAATAACGTAAACACGATGATTACACTCACTATCACTAATCTTAGTGAGAACGGGATTCGAATACGTTTCAGAATTTCGTTTGGTACGGCTCAGACAAACCCCTTGTCTACATTAGCAAATAATCTGGTGGAAATCGAGCGGCCGCGACTTAAAAGTAAAAAAATCCAAGTTAAGGCAGTCGAAATTGTCCAAGTCAAAATAGTCTGTCGAAAATGACAAATCCACCGAGGCTTTTTGCATTTAAAAAAGAAGCGAAAAGTTGAAGTTTGATAAAAAGAAAATGGCTGGAGGTGTAAATGTGGCAAAGCGGTCACAAGGAAATTTCTATTGGGACTTGGATCGGCGTTCGCACGGGTCGCACGCTTCAGTTAAGCCAAGAATGCTATGATGTGTGGATGCAGGCAGGGACGGGTAGCTGGCAATAGCGTACCCAAACCCCAAGTGGACAGTATCGTCCAGCCTGGGACGAGGCTATAGAGTGGTCACACCCGTTTTGATTACGCAATCCGTCGTGAGACATGGCAAGACAAGACCCTCGATCTCACTGGAAGACCGCAATCCTAACTGAGGATCGCAAGTCCGATCTCAGCTGCGATAAGCTAGTAGGATCACAATCCGCTAGTAGGATCACCATCCGCTAGCAGGATCATGGGGATATCTTGGGTGGGCCAACAGAAGATGTAACTGCTGGTATACTGGGTGTGGACCACACAAATGCGAGGGGACGATCTTCCTGGAAAGGCGACGCGTGGCATCTGGTTAGGATATACGGATAGGCATAGGGTTAGGGTTTAGGTTGGTTGGTAGACATTAAACAGAGTTCAAATTACTTCACAAGGCACACGGTATCTCTTCCGGGTAGGATCTTTGGCCCCCCGTCGAAAACAAAGAGACGCGCTACACGTCTACGCAAGTGTCACACCTGGATTTTTTTGGCCAGGAATGTTCAAGAACTCTAAAGCAACATCAACTGCGATCGGACGCAGAAAGACACATAAAGGCAAGGCGCAAGATCGCGAGACGGCTCAAGTGGTCAGAAGGCTCGCAGATCAAGCAACCACACAGTGGACAAGGCGATGTCGTTGAGATCAGGGTAACTTATATCAGTACCCACAAGTACCCCGTGATCGCGTGAAGATTTCCGCATGATCACAACCCCATCCCCAACACGGTCAAGTTTTCCTTCAACACGAGTCCACCTAGAAGAGTGCAACCCGCCCTACCGACGGGTACACAAGGTGAGGAAGGCAACACACACGGAATCGGATTATCCCTCCGTTAGTCGGTCGTCCGGGCGCCAGTGGAGAGTTGGGATCGACTCATAATTGAGCGATCGCCACTCACCACGTAAACGACTGAGATTTAAAGCTCAATATGTACGATTAATACGTTAGGAAGCCGTAGGAAACTTTTAAGGCGCGGTTTGTACGTACTTTTAATTTAGCTCATGCCGAGTTATAAGCTCTCGCTGGATTCCTGGTTCAGAAGTTAGGTGAGCCGTATGTATGCGTTAATGCTCAGCACACACGACAATTTATACGATGAATTGTATCGAATACAACATGTTAAAATCAAAAGATTAAGTCAATGATTAAGGTCCTTTAGGGACGGTATCGTAAAGACTAGAGGAGGGTTCCCAACTGCTCTAATAAATCAACGGTGATTTCTCACATTCAAAAAATTGGCGTTTTATTTGTTTGTTAAAATCAATCGACCCCGCTACCTTGTTTTTCACCACCGATAAATTTACCCGATAAATTAGCAATCACATATTACTAATTCAAAATAGGCATAACTTGGTCGCTAATTTCCCAAAGAGACATCTATTCGACAAAATCAATATTATTTTTATCGCTTATCGTTTCATATTAAGGCTTTATGTGTTCGTCTAAAACGCAGAATTTGTAGCCGTTATAGACAGATTAATTCGTGATAAGTGATAATACAAGCCATTACAGTCTACTAATGCGGTAAACCAGAGGAAAACGGGGATTAAATTGGCGGATAATTTGTGAAAGATCTTGAGCTCAAGGCGATTGCGAAGCAGCATGTACAGGATAGGAATTTTTTACATGCTGCTAAAACACAAGGCTGGTAAAGTGACCGAGTACCTTGCGCCTCATGAGACCAAGACCACTAGTTTGCGATGCATTAAAGGCCGAGGAGAAGAAATGCACCAATTTTGTCCACGCTCTTAACTACACATTTCTCTTTGCTGATGAAATTTAAGTCCACGTCCCCGCATCTGCGTAATCGTTTTCTTACGGTTGTATCTCTTTATTCTAAAGATATCAGTATCGGAAGCGTCGGATGCTGCGGCTGCTTCTTTTCTTCATTATTCATGCTTGCCATCAAAGATTTGGAATGCGATGGTAGAGGAGGGATGGCGTGAGATATAGATGACATAATGCAGTCAAGATGTTTTATTGGACAAGGTAATCTGCGAAAACATCACAAGAAGATGCTGATTAATATTTTAGGGTAAAAAATTCCTTTTCAAAATGTTGAACAAATCACCAGTACAATTTTCACTCGAGACCAGGACCATACCCTTTCTTTACAAGGTAATAAATGCATTTAATATGCACCACAAGATCATAAACATTTTATGCGCTGCCACAAGGTTGAAATATACATTGTGGTAGGCATAATTGAGCACCATCGGTGGCTACTTGGATTTAAGTAACGTTAGTTTCCTAATTTAGTCAATTATGCGTATAGTACACACGCAATTTTTTCTTGTTTATAAATGTAAGCACTATAAATCCGAATCTAATGATGCCAGATTTTTGATTATTTGGTCGATTTTTGTTATATCGCATCTTGTAGTCGATACTTAACCCGCATCATACGGTTATTCCTTCTCTCTCTATTTTTATACCCCCTTGTCATTAAAATAAGTGTAAGACTACAACAGAAATGAAAACTGGTCTATTGTCGGCTCGCACTTTTGCAGCTGAAACGACCAGTCTGGTCGATTTTTGACTCGAAATTCAGCAACTGGCCAGAAATGGACCATAGTTGCAGAAATTATGTGGAACACAAATGGGTCATGAACCTATTACGAGGCATTTTTTAGGCAAACCATGCATGCAAGACTGTCGCATTTTTTAGCTACCCGACAGGCCCACAAACGAAAGCTCCCACGTGTAGGTTTGAAAAAAGCACACAAACGATCCGAGACGATGCAACGGATAGCGAAGTCGAGGTAGATTGTTTTATTGGAAAGTATGACCAGTATGAAGTAGGACCATAAGATCAAAAAAAAAACAAGTATATCTTGAAAGTTGGTGTAATGGGGCACCGGTAGCTCGCATTGTCACAGTACAGGATGATTACACTCAACACAGAATAAGTTGGTGCCTCGAGACTTCACGTGCACTCGTCGTGTAGAGAAATGTCTTAGTGCAAGGTAAGGTTATAATTAGGACTGTATTTAGTATCTTTATTCTACTTTTAATAATTCCTACTTAGTCTTTAATTATCTATGTTGAAATACAAACATGCATTGCAACTATCTACTCACCATTCAATCCTTTCTTCTGTCATGGATCGGATTCATTGGTTGATATCTTAAACTACACTTACAAAACAATAGTGTGTTATTCCTGCACCACAACATGACATGTTCAGCAAATATTGTGGGAATATGGTGTCTGTCTTTACGTAACATTTTTTCTTGACCTTTACCTGATATAAAGTATGATGTGACGGTGGTACCCTGTTACAGTTAAAGCCCAAAGTGCAAAGAATTGTTTTTTGATACTCTTTATAAGTTGTTGGATCAACTATCTTTTTGTATGATCCACTTCCATTTGTTAGCAAAGCAAAACTTTTTTATTTGCATTTTGATCGGCCGATACAACTTGCGAATAGTTGCCTGTTTTCTCTTATTATCACCCTTCAAGTCTGCCAATTCTACTACTGAATGGCATCGCCTGGTAGCTTAATGCTTGTCCACCTCGTGCCGATTAAGTATTCAGGGTATTAAATCGCTGGAGTCACTAACGTGAAGTTTTAGCCTGTCTTTGCGAGCATCTGGTGCGGAATACTTATATAGTTGCGTACACCTCTTTATCAACGGACCGCGTTTCAGGCCAACATTTCCATTTATCGACCAACAATGCCACCAGGTAAGTAAAACAAAAAGTCTTACTTAATCACGAAATTTTGAAATGCCTTGGACAAAATGCCCCTCATTTTAGTGTACTCGATTTAACGCGGTACACGTATACCGATATTGTGCTTCACTGAAGGACCAATCAATTATAATCACCATTTCCACGCAATATGCTGATACGTCAGACTATTTGAAACCGATACGCCCTTATTTACGACCACACGAACATTCACCGTGACAGAGTGGACTTACGCTAGGTTCTCAAATTAACGCTGCATTAAGTCAAAACAAATTTGCAGCTTGAAAATTGGAGTAAGCCAGGTGCCGCAGGTAAAAGTCAGGTCGAATCTAGCGGGTTTGAAGTTGTTGAAACCGTCAGGAAAGCCACCAATTACTACCCATTTACTACATAAGAGTACGATTAAGGTTCATGTAGCACTGCGGAACGATTTAGCAGGCGGTTTGCGCCATATATTACCTTTAGAGGGCTGCATGTCAAATTATGGCGGATACAATTAGACTAATTATATTTGAGTATTTTTATAGTACGTTTTGATGCGGAGAAAATTAAATTTTCGACGATGACATGGATGCTGAAGTGAGTTAACACTTCGACAAAATCCAATGTCTTGTATGTGTTGTGATCACCTTTTGAGCTCTGCAATCCCAACTTGCCGTCCTTGCAGAAATGGCTTTGAGACCGTTTAATCGATGCAACAGCACCAAAATGTCACCATCAGTACTGGTAAAGCTTTTTTATTTAGATATAAGCGACAGCCAGGTAAAATCTATTCATGATAGTCTGTTATAAGGTTAATAAAACTCAAGTAACTGCAGCTTACTTGCGAACTAATTTTTCCTACCCCACAACAAAACAACCACAGTAGCAGCACTGATGTACGAGCAACACTGTATAACGGTAGCAACACTAAGATTGCTAAATATAGTAGCAATAAAAACGACATAAGCAGCAACAGCACGAACTTTAGCATCAGCTGCATCGAAAGCAACAGAAACAACGTAAATAACTTACAACGAGAACATCAACGGCTGCAGCCGCAGCGGTAGCAGCGATGAAAACATCATTTGATTTTGAACCAATACGACATTAAAAAACAATCTTATGATAACAAACCAACACGAAAACAATTTCACAAATGACATTAACATCAGCACCGATTGTCTGCGTAGACGGCGCGGCCAAAGTAACAAAAAAAGACGCGGTAAAATCTTCCCTGTGCCGTCTGGGTCCGCAACTGGTGGCTGCGAGCGCAGCACACCCGCGGCTGAACCCCCTGCCTAGCTCCGCCTACACGGCGGGGGTTGAGTACGTCCTCTCAAAAGAAACTGAGAAAAAATATCGATACAGTTTTATGTGTATTACGTTAGAATAAGTATTTAAACGCAGGTACTTTTTAATGTTCATTTGTCCGGGGCAATTTTTGGGACTGACTTGGTAGACAGACCCTACTGTAGCTAGATTGAAACCCCCTCTATAAAGATATTAAAATTGTGTTAAATAAGCAGGTGTCCCCATAGAACTTGATACATGACTTTTCAATTTTGATGAGCATTAAAAATTCCATGTAAGCGATAGAGACAGCGTCGGCGCGTCCTATGTGCGTTATTGTGGTCATCCATATTGTACTTGCTAGCTTCATTCCTTTTTGTTTGTACGATGCAGTGTTGTCTTTCAGTTTGTCGTAGGTTTGACAGCTGCAACGGCGGCCTTACCAACGCCAGATATCGGTACGATAAGTTGATGAGAAACATTACAATGACGCAGGTATCCAACTACCTCAACATGTTTTCGCTTTCGCTTTTATTGATGAAAACGTTTCGCCTGTGTGTTATAGTACGCTGCAATAGCGTCTCCAGGTGCAGAGCAGAGTGAAAAGAATTGGTGATTGACAATGCTTCCCTGTAAACTTATATCTCATTGTGCGTATTCTACAATTAACTTTGACAACTTTAATCTCAACAATTGCGTTGCATATCGTTAAACGCGACCATGCAAGATAATTGCATTCTATGCACCCTTCAAAGACTTAATGAAATTGTTGGCTGGCGATGGCTCAGGCATCTGTGCAGTACGTCAGAGAAATTTTTTTATTGGATCAATAAAAAGGGTTGAATAGCCCGTTAATCTTGTTACGGGGTCACACTAGCCATTAGCTGAATTGGTCAAAGACCTCCCTTAAATTATATGGATGAATGTGTGTGATCTTACATTTTATATCAACAAAAGAATATCGATTGATCGATATTCCCAGGTTTACGGTACTTACCGTGTACGTACTTTGTACCGTCATCACTTGATGACCGAGTGCAGAGCCAACCATCCATTTAGTTCGGATAATAGTATTTGTATTAGTTCTAGTTTAGTATAACATAGGGTACTAAAAGTAGGATTTTCATGATCCAAGTAATGTTCAATTCTCATTTTGAGCAGAAGCCCCTAGACGACCCCCCCTTCGCACATTGTGCCCTGCAGTTCCTTAGAACTGCCGTATCTTAGAGAGCCCTTAGACTCCTACTCCCCTGCACATTGTGCTTGTGGTTTTCTAGAACTACACAGTAGTTGAGCTGTTAACTCGTAGAGTCCACCCAAGTTCCGTAGAACTGGGTGAATCTTTAACTTGATATACTAGTTCCGTAGAACTAATAGGCTGTCAGCCGTAAGCCGTTGGCATGTTAATTAAGTCTTCCTCTGACTTAAAGAGCTGTGTAGCTCCGAGGCAAAACTCTCAGAAAAGAGCAGAGCACAATTTATTCCCTAATTTATCTTCGACCACTAGCTACCATTTGCTCCTCCCTACCAATTTTTATGGCCAGATATTATATCCGTGAGTGTCTCTGGAATACAATTGAATCATGCTATAAAGAAAAAGGATAAATTACGGATAGGTCACAACATTATACATAGAACGTGAGGCTTGGTAAGGTTAAGAGAGCAGTGGAGGAGGGTCCAACATTTTGTATTGTACTGTAAATGCCTCCCTAATTTCTGATAATTTCAGCTGGTAACGGCATCACAAGATATTTGTAAAATCTGTTATCCAAGAGGCGTCTCTGTAGTAAGTTGGTGGTGTCAACTGAGTCAGTCCCCTTTTTTTCAGTGACTAAGCATTTTTTGCATGTTCTTAATATCTGGGCCATTTATTTTTTCATTATAAAATGGGGTATTTTATTGTTTTCCTTTATTTGAAGCCTTTTTTATTTTCAATTCAGTAAAGGCATTTTCATTTTCATCATAAACGGGGCATTTTTACTTTTCTCACCTGGTAATAAACAGTTTCGAAATTTACGCGCAGCTATAAATGGAATTGACTGACCAGGCATTTTATCACCAACAGAATAAAAAAAGACAGGAACGAAAACATTAAATGAAGGCGAAGATAGCGGCGATGGCAATGGAGACATTTTTCATACTACATATAATTATGGATCTTTAGCAGCAATAAAATCGAGATGCCAAGATAAAGACGATGGACAAGGATTTGATGAACATCACGCGAAACTGAACTTTGCCATTTACCTGATTATTAGCGTTGTAAAGTAGCTGGACGAAAGAAGCCTTTTAATACTCGTTTACGTGCAAATTACTTCCATACACACATCTATATTATATGCGTTTTTTTAATTGTGCCAACGTCTATCCTGTGATGAAGGGCTGCCGTGGCGGTTTCCCGCTCGCAACAAGTTTTCATTGCGTTGTTGCATGACGTGGTTTGACATGCTCACGGTAGAAAGCGACTACGTTATCACAAATTGTAATTGCATATATACGAATTCAACGAAGAGGGATCTGAGCATGTAGACATGCATCGTGCCAAGTACGGTCAAAAGGTGAATACACTACCGCGCGGTAACTTCTAGTTACAGCGAGAACGTACCATGTTAGAGGAGATGCTGAAACGGAAAGTTTCACACCAAAATTATCCAATCACAATTGGCTGTTTCGTGAGTCGTGTATTTTCTTTACAAATTAAAAGGGAGTGAATCTAGCCAAAAAGGGAGTGAAGCTAGCTAAAAAGTGAGTGAAGCTAACAATTTTCCAATGTTTTAGGCACATTCAGGCATCCGTTGACATTAGCCATATCTAGGACTGGATGCATACAAAATTACAAGAGCGCAACAAAGAGGGGTATTATGACAAACGATGAGCCACGAACTACCGCCGAATGGAATACAGACACTGGCGTAGCCAGCCTGGCTCAGAAATTGCAGGATCTTGCATCCGATAATGATTTAAGTAGGCAATCATGTCCTATCTTTCTCACGTAACAGGCGCAGCGTGGAAGTCAAATCAGTCACGCGTGACTTGTCGCTGTCAAAAGTTTTTCTGACGCGTATGCGTCATCTGATTGTCGGACCCATCTTACAGTGTTCTTACCTCAAGTGATTGACGAATCCGGACGACGAGTCGGGGCGGTAAAAGCAATTGCCCCTTTAATCAGATGGAGTACACTTTATGTTTTGCGAATATTCACTGCGAAAAAATCTAACCTAGTGTTCAAAATAACGTTCTCACGGTCAAGAATGTATCGAGCGTAGGCGCAGCGGTCCCACAATACATTTTGGCATGAATTCTTCATTTTGCAACGTAAAGGTAGGTAAGAGTTTGCGCCATATGCACATGCGCAATGCAAATAGTCCGCTGTGAATCCATCCAGCTGCATGCTCTATGCGCGAAATGTGACATTGGCAAGTCCAGATGGACTATGCAAACAAAACAGACGGCTCGTCATTTACGAGTGGCCTACTTTGGAACATGACGACCTCACCGATTTCTGTCCAGTATCATGACAGTACTGTAGTAATGTCAAGCATCCATTCTCAGACAGCACGTCCTTCTCGCATTATTAACACTGTTGTGCGTGACGATGACGTTAAATCTCCAGACTCCATGTGATTCTTGCGTAATATAAGAAGCCTATGCTAGACTCTTGCAGTCACCAACGAACTTACCTGTGAAGCTTTGTGCTGCACATACTGCATCAACGAGAAAACTTCTACGCAATTGACTTGTGCTGCAAAACGTCCGCAGTCGTAGATTTAGCCTACTCTTTAGCAAGGCAAAACACAAGCTTAGTGATTGTCATTCCGACCATCCATTTATACGTCGAGGTGCAGTTCCTGATCTTACAAAAGCCACGTTTGTTTTCCTAACGTACTTATTCAGTTGAAACACCAAAACATCGTCGACCAGCGTTGCAGTAGCTCCCCTCCTCTTTCAAAAACGTGGCAGTCACGTCTGCTTAAATTTTCCACCCACTGGACTTGATTGGACAAATGACTCCCCATACGAAACAGCAGTGAAACCGGCCGGCTCTTTTCCCATTCTCTGTCCGTGATGTGGCGTGTTGTCAAGTCGCTCGACCTCGAGCTTCAAACGGAGACGTCCCGAGTGACACAAGCCGAAGCCGCGTCCACGAGTCACAACGTCGCTCCTCCTACTTCCAGACGTGAAGCATCCCGAGCAGCTCATCGACCCGAGATGACCAATGTCGGCGTGGTCGTGGTCTCCCACAACGTGTTTGCGAAGCTGCCCTCGTACAATCCCTTTGTGGGCACGTTCCATCACGCACCAAGGTGCGTGTTTCCCGCCCGCCCCCTGCTATTAATTTCTCCTATAAATTACTGTTCCATCGCTCCTGACGGTCTCTCTACCATTTGCATTGTCTCTTCACTCTTTGCAGCGCTGGAAACCGCGGTGCTATCTACTTTTCCAGTGACATTGTCGACATGGCCGAGCTCGAAGAGCGCAAGAAGTTCCGCCATCATCCGCTCACGGGTATCTTTCATTCACTTCCAGGGTACTATGATCCGTTGCACAAATTGGCTTCTTGTCGTCGGGTCATGACTGCTGAAGGCATTTACTCCGACACGGAGTCGCTGCGTTCGTTTGTGGCCATGGATATTACGGACAGTGACGACTTTGCGTCGCTGCAGCAACCTTCGCACATGAATCGCATGTACAGTGACTCGCGATGCATTCCTGGCGCTGACTTGATGACGCGTCCGCGTCGCTTTAGCGACGGAGATGCCGATCCGTTCTTTAATGGGAACAAGACAAACTCACCAAACAGCAAGCACGATAATGGGGCTGAATACAGCAACGGGTTTGATGGCAGTGACGTGGGAGAGGGGGAGTGTGGAGCTCTGGAGCAGAAGGAAACGCATCGTTCGCTACCGCTGAATGTTTTGTCCATTACGGACAAGTATGATGTACCACCACCGGTTGGTGGCTTACCCCCTCGTCGACTGCCATACAAGAAACCCATGGACTCGGCTGGCTTGGCTTCCACCAAAACGGAAAGCGGGGGAGTGTCATCGATCCGATCACTCTTTGCTCCGAGCTATGGCCGCACGGAGCTCAGCAAGTCGGCGGGCTACGCAGAGATGACGGACGGTTTTATATCGACGGGTAAAGGCATTTTCAGGAAAGTTGGCTTACGCTCATCACAATCGGAGCGAATGAATGTTAAGGTCAAGGGCAAAAAGGGTAGTGAACCTGCCGAGTTGAAATTGCAGCGCATTGTCAGCGAGGACAACGATGGTGACGATGTAAATGACGAGTACACCCAGGCTGCCCCTCGCATTCCTGCAAATCCATTTGTAGCCAGGCGCTTGAACGATGGTGACGAGCTTCGTATCATGGCGATCCACCGCACAGGAATACGCGACTCGACGGCTCAAGTTCTGAACAATGATGACCACGGCAGCGACAGTGAGGATGAGTACAACCAACCGAAACCCTATTTTATCCACGAGAAAGCTGTCACGGAACAGTATGAATTGGTTGGTGAAGACCAGTTGGGTGATGGTTCCTACGCTGTTGTAAAACCTGCTATTCGTCGCGTCAATGGAAAGGAAGTTGCGATCAAACAGATTCACAAGCGCTTCCTGCGCGACGAGGCGGCGAAGAACGCTGTGAGTCGAGAGATCGAGATTCATCTGCGCTTGCGCCATAAGCACATTGTTCGGTTGTACGAGGTTTACGAGACGCCTGATTTTCTTTACCTGGTCATGGCGAAAGCAACGAAGGGTAATCTGAAGTCTTTGATGGAGCGAAAGCGGATGCTTCCTGAGGCACTCGCTGGCAAGCTTTCACAGCAAATTGCCCGTGCTGTTGTATTCTTGCACGATATGGGCGTGCTGCATTGTGATCTGAAGCCAGACAACATTTTATTGAGTGACACCAAGACCGCAAATCAAGATAATGGCGAAAACCCTCCCGTCATGCGACGCCCAAGCCCTTCAAGGTCAATTAAGGACCCTCACGCTGACGTCAAGGTTAACGACTACAATGTCGAGCTGTGTGATTTCGGACTGTCGGTGAAGGTTCCCGACGTTCGCTTTTTTAAGCTCACGGGCGATGTCCACAAGGTTCCGTTCACCAAAGTGACGGGTACTTCAGGCTACATCGCTCCTGAGTTGCTACAGCAGCAGCCGTACGGCAAGCCAGTGGACATGTGGTCGGTAGGAATTATAATTTTCGAGATGTTGACCGGATACCAGCCATTTTACCCACCGCATATGTGTATCGAAGAAGATGCTGATTTCTCGGATCGTGTGTGGAAGACTATAAGCGCTGATGCCAAGGACTTGGTTCAGCGTCTGTTGGAGCGTGACCCGGCAAAGCGGCTTACTGCTGCGGAGGCACTCGCTCACACTTGGTTTGAGTCAGCCATGTTTGCAATTTAGATGTGCTAACTCACTGGATGGCCACAGAGGTATTGCTAACAAGGTAAAGAGTGAGACGTGTTGGCTTATATAGCACAAAGTACAAAAGAGAAATATACTGTGGGTGCAGGCGATTGCCGTGTATGAATTCGTCATCTTGCGACAAATTCGGGCTACGGAATCTTCGACTTCTTAACTCCTTTGTCGTTAGCCCACTTGAAGAAATCACATCTGGCATCAGGATTCTTTTTCTCTCCCTGTTCACGAAACAGTATGTGTTAGTATGACATGAATCGGCCAGATTCAACGCTGACCTTACCGCTGGCTTGGTGCAGACGTAAAACTTGCGGCCCCAATTTTCGTTCACCTTTACAACTGACCGGAGTACAGTAGGCTGACCGCAATAACACATTGGCGTTGGTGACGGTCGTCCACTGAGAACATGCTGCCACTCCAGCTTCCCTTCCTCAACTCGTTTACGCTTTGCTGACTGTTCAGCAAGCATATGGTGTACGGGCGGCTCCTCTTCACTACCGGAGTACTCCATCTGCGATGCCGTCTTTGGCTTCGTCATTGCATTATTAAAGAAAGAAGTTATCGACTGTTGGCCACGATTTTTCATCGGCTTTCTAGATTGTTTTCCAGACCCAAAGGCTGGTAAAGGTGTCGACGCAAAGTCTTCCAAGCCAGATGCAATATCTTGACCATCCGGCACAGTTTGCCTACGTACAACAAACGCCTGGATACTTTGCTGCATACCTGAGAATTCCACGAAGTTTTTGGCACAAAGCTCTGCACCACCTCCGCAACTTAAGTCAGAGTCACCAGTTTCGAAATCCACAACGCAAGACATGACCACTGGGCAATGATCCGATCCGATACGTTCTGGCTCGAGACTAGGCATGCAAGAGTTAAGTTTGTCGATCAGCCACAATCCAAGTGATGATATCGAAATCCACCGTACTTGCAAGAATCTACACACGCGAGGAAAACAGGATCTACCAAGATGTAGTCGATTCGGGTTCCGTAATTTGTTTGACGCGCTCCCGTCACGGTGTTCCAACACTAGCGGAGTAGCAGAGCACGCAAAGTTGAGACCACCGCACTGTCATTCCAGATACTATAGTGGGGTACACACAAGGATCGCGCACCGTGAAAGCCTTGACCTCATAAGGATGTAGATGCCGAAAAGTATCAACCATTCTAGCAGTAGATTGCTCATTCAGTATTGTACAATCAGCAAGAACCACAGCGGACTGATCCATCGCTTCTCTTTGTACGAGAAAAGAGTCCATCCACTTTCTGCACGGATGATTCGCAAAAGAACTACTACCAGGCCGATGCGTGTCCGGATCACAATGATCAATTTCTCGGTGCGCAATATTTATATCACCCTGTGGGCAAACAGATCCCAGGTCAACATTCTGCAATTGCAAGCGCTTGACAAGCGTACAACGAACCACGACAACAACGCGTTTGTTTGCCTTTCGTAAAGCCTTTACCCGATCCTCCAGCAATGCATGAAAGTAAAGTTTGTACTCCAAGCGATCTGCAGATGCCAGTGCTGGACAATACGTATTTACAAGCACAAATGCTTGGTGGTCCGTGATAACACAGCGTCCCTCGGATTCCAAATCGTGCACGAGTTTCGGCGAAAGCTGAACAATCAGTCATCGATACCGCAACGACAATTCATCCCATCATCAGAATCGAATATAAAATTGCAGCTAGAGAGCACCTTTGAAGCTCTTCAGTACCCCATTGTGCAGAGTTCCAAGGTGCCCCACGCTGTCTTTGGTTTGCCATAAACCTGTCAGTCCTTCCTCGGCTGCGACAGTTGGCAGATCGTTTTTGACAAACGTCACAACACCCGAGTACCCTCCACGATGTCGACAGAAGGAATAAAAGGCGTCAAATCCTGCAGTAGCACAAACCCTTGAGCTTCAACACGATGTACTCTATTCGATACAGCAGCAGCAGCACCTGGAGGCCGCACGAGCTCCTGATCGAGCTCGGAGCGAGTTATTTTCGTCTCTTGGAAACACATGATGTCGGCCTCCAAGCTCTCGAGAAAGGGCTGGAGACGCTGTCCTAGACGCTGCAAGACTGCGCGCAGTCCGTTAACATTCCACGTCACAAGTCGCAGGTTTCGCTTCATCTAAACAGTCAAGTTTCGTTCTAATCTTCTACACTTTAACCCAACGCGGGTGCAACACCTGTTAAAAACTTGTGGTGTCCGGCATGCTTTTTGACCAATCCAAACGTTTGGCGCCGTTTTTTCACTTACTTGCCCAGTGATCGAAACAAGCGACTGGATTGATGGGCATCGACGTCGCTGCCATTCGCGCAGCTTTTGCAGCATGCGACTTGGAACTCAATGAAGATGCAACCAGTACATGCGTGTCGATATGCAAGGAGTTTGGATTGAGATCAGAAGACATGGCCGCGCAGTGGGATGCTTATTCGATGAACCAGCAGCTCGTAGGTGCCGCTACGACTGACGACCTCGTGGCATTTCGCTCGTATCTCAACCAGCAGAAACTGAAGACAAAAGAAATAGCGACCACAGCTCCTTCACAGCATCGTCGTGGCATGAAGACGCCCGTGATGAAGCGCGAGGCCGAAAGTCAGGACAAACTTGAGTCGCTGTACACTGTCAAGTCGCCTGAAGGAAAGCACCATGCACGTTCATTCTCGAGTCCCCCAGGAAGCAACAAAGTACAACGCACGAACGATTTTTTGTCTCCTTCGACGATGCAGTTTTCACCTGGAATTAATATTTATGAGAATCGCTCGGACGCTGGCAAAACCGTGTCGGAATTCAACGCGCACTTGAAAACACAGATAGAAGGACTGGACGGTGGAGCAGGATGCGTCGTCAACATTGCATTTCCCTTTCCGTCACGTAACCAGTCCCCTAATGCTACGTACATGTACACACCACAGTTTCAACGAGCAATCGCGTTGGATGAACAGCTGGTCGAGTATGAGGAGCTGGTAAAAGAAAAGTTCAAACTAGAAGTGCTCAAGCCGGTGGGAGACCCTTCGCCAGCGCAAGTGACGGTAGTGGGGCGTATTGTGTGTGAGGCAGCTGAAGGCAAGCTGAATTCGAGCGTTGTGCAGATTGAAGGATCCAGGAAGACTTGCGGGGGTCAACGCGTGCTCCTCGACTTGAGTAAAGTTCCTAACTTTCAGCTTTTCCCCGGAAAGGTTAGTTGAAGCTACGGAATTGCTGTGAATCGATAGTAAGAGGATGACGTATTTTGCGCAGATTGTTGCACTGGAAGGTGTTTTTTCGGATGCGCGTTCCCCCATGGCAGTCCGGAAGTTTCTTGAGGTAAGGTGGCTTCTGTACTGTTGCTGATGCATGTATACGGTATTGATTCGTCGTACTGTGTGTTTAACGCAACTGCAGCCTGTTCCGACGCCGCCCTCTACAACCTCTCCTGCGCGTATCAAAGAGATCCACACTGAGCGCGGAAAGCCAGTCCATGTGCTGGTTGCTTGTGGTCCATTCACGACTTCCAGCAATGTGGACTACTTGCCACTGAATGATCTTCTTCAAATTGCCATCGACCAGAAGCCAGATGTGCTTGTGCTTGTAAGTGCTGGTGCAGCTGTTTGGCAACTCAATTTGCGGAAGGGACGAACTGACATTGCCAAATATGTAGGTTGGCCCGTTCATTGATTCAATGCACTCAATGTTCAAGGACGGGTTGGTCAAATACGACGGCATGATGCTCAGCTTTGACGAGATTTTCTTGTTCAAAGGTTGTTCCTAGGCTTTGGGCAGATTGATCGCTATTGTTGACTAACTTTATGCGATATTGCGAACGGTGTGGCTTGTTATAGTAATGACGCTGCTAAACAAAGTGCTGGCCCAAGACGAGCGGATTCAAATTGTGCTCGTTCCATCTTTAAGAGACGCCAACCACCATTACGTATACCCGCAGCCTCCGCTGGACAAAAAGAAAGCGTGTGAAGCATTTGAGGCGCCCGAGTACGCCAAGGTACGTAAGTGTTGTTAAAGGCGGCTTCGAAGAGCTAAACGTCATTGTGAATATGTGATTGCAGCGCATCCATTTTATGTCCAATCCTAGCACGTTTTCTATAAATGGGGTTGTGTTTGGAGCGTCTGCCTTGGACGTGATTGTTCAATTGAGCTCGAACGAACTGTACAGGTGTGTGAGTATGTGTATATATTGTGTCTTGACCAGTGGATATTCAGTATTTACCAATACTGTTACTGCAGAGCCCAAAGTCGTGATCCGAACCGATTGCTGCGGCTATGTGAACAGGTTATTGATCAGCGAAGGTTCGTTTTGTATGTTTGCACCATTTACACAAGTATGCTGTTTGACCCGTACACGTATAACGAAGTCCCCCCTGACATGTGTCACACAGCTACTACCCAATATTTCCTCCACCTCCTGGTAGCGAAGCACCTATCGACCTACGCTATACGAAGCAGTTTCAGATTGAAGAGACGCCGGATATCCTGTTACTCCCTTCAGTCCTCAACCGTTTTTGTGGGGTACGTTCTTTGCAATACTTGCGCACCGATAATGATTTCGAGCATTTCTTATCGATTGTGTCTTGTATCTATAGCGAGCAAAAGACTCCATTTGTATCAACCCGGGTCAGCTGTGCAAGGGCGAGTCCGGTGGCACATTTGCGCATATAATCATCCTCCCGTTGTCCAACGACAAGGTCGAGAGTGCGATTGACGACAAATGTGCACATTTTGTGCCAGATCGAACTTTTGTCGAAATTAAGCGCATCTAGACCATGATACTTGCAACGTTTGGAAGCAGATACCTTCAGTTAGGAATTTTTCATGATCCTATGTTGTTGCCGATATCTACAAGCCCATCCAGCCGTTTCTGAAGTGAACTTAATGCGGTGCATTCGTACGTGTTGGATAGATGCGCTACTGTGTATCGTTGACCGATTTCTTTATGAACGCACATTGGCTCCTTCGTGTGACTTGTCCCTTCGTGGCAATGATTTGTCCGAATTTCTTCGAAGCTCTACAGCTGATTCCAGCTGATAAGAAGGTTAACGTTGCGCGAGTATTTGCGATATTGCCGTGAAGCAAATTCAAAGCACTCACAGTTGAAACGAGATGAGTCCAGTCCATGCCGCCAAGATCGCGATTCAGCTGGATCATCGATTTATAAACGCTTTATCGTTGCCGTCCGCAACCACGCTTCGAAAATTATGAGGTCTTATGATGCAGTGCAATTGGCAATCTTTCTTTTTATGTAGACTGCAGTTATAGGAGAGCAGAACATTGCTGGCTCATTTTACGCGGTTCACGATCGCCGCGACTTCTGGGTACAAGGCAAAAGATCAGCCTTGGACAAGCGCACTTGTCTCCCTAGAACGTGCTGGAAAGCAGAACGCCAGGAAACTTCGCTGTTGTAACATATGGGTAGCCACCCCCTCGTCATCGGCGTTAGCGTCAAAGTCTCTTTAAGAGAGTCTGTCTTGATGTAGATCAGGAGTATGAGCGATTTCCTGTAAGTATGCTACTGTTCAGGAGTTTTCACCCTTCCTTTTACCCTAGTTATGTGTTGGACATCTGTACACAAAGCTCATTGTAAGAGCTCGTGTAACGGGGTGAATCGTTACATAACAATTTATAAGAAATTGTTAATAGAATATAACTATAAGAGTTATATTCTCAGAATATTGTCATAAGGACAATATTCGGTAGCACTTCCAAGTAGTTCCTAATTGGTTGATATAGGCCATTATATCAACCAACGAAGACGCGCCACGACAGACGCACGCAATGAGTGGTGAGCAGATAACTGATTTACACATTTGTATTTAGACATAGTTAGATGAAGATAAATAGTGATTTATTGCAGACATTAACTATTATAAATACAGTTCTACTTTTTACTCTAACCGAGTACTCGCTTCTTCTTACCGTCTTCCTCTGCACGTACGAGTGTACGTGAAGTTACGAGGCACCGCCTTATTCTGTTATCAGAATAAGTAGCTTGTACTGTCACCAGTACAAGCTTCAGGGTGCCCCGTTACACCTGGTAGCACTTCGTAGTCCGTCCAAGGACCGCGTTCACATCCAACATGAATATGTTGGATGATGAAGATGACCAAAGCTTTCACGCTACGCGTGACGGCTACTCCCATTTGAGCGATGTCGAATGGGATGCGGTTGAACGAATGGGTTCGACCATGGGCATCCATGCTGTTAGCGTCATGCTAGAGGCTCTCAATAGAGATGCCCAACATGCTACTATCGCCAAGTTCATTCAAAATGAACTTGACGCAGAACGCGAGAAAGTAGCCTTGCTTCACCAACAAGGTTCTCAACAAGCAGAGTTGTTGAGAGAACAAGGTGCTCAACAGTTTGAACTGTTGAGACAGCAGCAGGCTGCTGCTGGCGGGTCGATGCACTCGCGTCGGCCCGAGACTTTGAAGATTGACATCTCAAAGTATAGGGGGTCGAAGAAGACTCCCTCTTGAGATGGTTCGTCGAATTGGATGACGCCATAAGGGCGCGTCGCATCGACGACGGGGATATGCAAGTTGCATTTGCCCAGTCAAATCTGGCAGGACGTGCCAAGACTTGGGCACTGGGGCTCAAGCTGCACGACCCATACGCGTTTGGGTCGTTGGAAGTCTTCAAGTCGCGGCTCAGACAAACGTTTGAACCGCCTAGAGCTGAGTTCAGAGCTCGAACCGAACTCTTGAAGCTCAAGCAGGGTAAGCGTGATGTGCACGCTTACGCTCAACATATACGACATCTCACGAGTTGTATAAGTTCCAATCCGGTGGATGAACACACGTTGGTTTCGGTGTTCATGCAGGGTCTTGCGGATGGTCCCGTCAAGACTCACCTGTTCCGGCTTGAACTAGATTCACTAGAACAAGCCATTTCAATTGCGGAGCAGGAAGACTTCAGTCTGAGACAGGCTCGCGCCAGCTCGACATCATATCGTCAACCGAGACGATATGACAACGGAGGTCCAGAGCCGATGGAACTCTGTTATGTAGAGAGCGAGAAGGCTCGCTCTACAGGCTACAAGAAGTTGCAGAGATGCAACAGATGTCAAAAGACAGGACACTACGCTTACGAGTGTAGTGCCCCTCGTCCAGTGTCTCGCGACACTGGGCGTAGTGACCGTCCACCCATGAGAAAGGGGCAGGGACGAGGGTCCGCAGTTGGTGCAAAGACGCAACAACGGGATGGACCGTCAAAAAACGGACAGGATCAGTAGGTGCGGAGCACCCTACTGATCCAGCAACGTCAAGAGAATTTGTAGGCCTCTTGATGAAGGTTGCTCCCAACACACAGACATTGTGCGTTGCTGCTCTAGGTAATGAGATCTCACTCATTACCTTGAAACTCGAAGTGACGAATAAGTTGTCCCTTCGAGCTCTAGTCGATTGTGGGGCGTCCAACAATTTTGTGCGACGCCAATCGCTAGAAGATGGTCACTTTAAATTCAGTGAATGTGACACACCTCCTACGAGGATGACGGTACGTCTTGCGACAGGCGCATCCGTAACCGTCATGAAGCGTATAGTGAAGATTCACTATACGCTAGAAGATACCCAATACGACGATGACTTTATCGTATTGGATTTGGATGACAAATTTGATGTCATCCTTGGAATACCGTGGCTCAGAAGGTACGAACCACGGGTAAACTGGCAACATCGGACAGTAACGATGCCTGCCGCTTGTTCATCAGATGGCCATCTGATGAACGTTTTGGAGCGTCCACAAGCGTGTGGATGTACTACGAGTGAGTGCGATGGCCTCACTTGTGGTACGGTCGTTAGTACGACTGCACAAAACCTTAGTGTACCAAACGGTTACACTTCGGAGCAAAGTTCCGGCGGCTGTGAGGAAACACAGGCTGCGCCGAAGGTCCACCACTCGAATAAGTCGGGTGGACTGGGACAAAGATGTATCCCTAGAGGGGAACATCTAGAAGAGAAACAATCGATCGCTCAGGTTAAGCGAAACGATAATCCTAGATCGACTGGAGAGTCTTTCGTAGAGGATCTCGCTGTGGTTGCGCAACCCCAGCTAGAGGAAGTAAAGGGAATAAGTCCCAAGATTACAAATACGGCGGAAATAAGTTCCCCGAAACCCGCGGGAATAAGTCCCCGGGAAGACGAAGGAATAAGTCCTTCGAAGCCTGAGGGAATAAGTCCCCAGGAAATGACAGAGACATTGAATGTCATAGTCAATAACGGATCATGTGTAGGCGCTTATACACTTGATCTGATTGCGCCTCCGAAGTTAACTTCGGAGATCACTCAGTTGCCAACGCTCGAACATAAAAGGTTCTTGCGTGATCTGCGTAGTGGCAAAGTCAAGCAGATCTGCATACTCGTCGCTGACGACGAGTATGTAACCGACATAAGGTCAGCAACAGTGTTTACTGAGAACGAGAGAGTTCTCAGTAGTTCATCTATGGACGAGAGTGTCCTAGATGAAAAGACACGAATTGAGCGATATGAGTCCCAATCATGGGAATCGCTCAAGGAAAATCCTCTCTATGAAGATTTGGTTGAATTCAAGGATGTATTCCCTGAAACTGTTCCGTGCGAATTACCGAAGGATAAAGGTATTCGACACGAAGTCGAGCTTAAACCAGGCTCGAAGTACTGTGTCATGAAGCAGTGGCCACTGCCTCGTGAACAAGTACTTGCGATCGACAAGTTCTTTGCCGATCGTTTAGCAGCGGGCCATGTGAGGGAATCAACTTCCCCACATAGCTCTCCGACCTTCTGTGTGCGAAAAGCAACAGGAGGGTGGCGGATAGTGCACGCGTTTAACAAATTGAACGCTGCAACGGTACCGGCTCAGACGCCGATACCGAGGAAGGACGTAATCATTGATGGTATGTCAAAGAGTACCATCTTTTCGTCCATGGATTTGATGGATGGCTTCTATCAAATCCTAATGCGGGAACGGGATATACCCTATACCGCAGTTAGCACGCCTAGCGGCATGCTCTGGGAATGGCTAGTAATGCCACAAGGGCTCAGTAATGCCCCTGCCACGTTCAACAGATGTGTATCACATCTGTTGAGACCAGTACGAGAGTTCGCGCCGAGTTATTTCGATGACGTATTCATCCATAGTCGAGCTATGGATGGAAAGTCGGACGTTGAGGTTCACAGGTACCACGTCCGACAAGTTCTTACAATCATGCGAAAGCATCAATTGTATGCTAACCTCAAGAAGTGTATATTTGCAGCAAGCGAAATACCACTTCTTGGGTGCATCGTTGGTAAGAACGGTGTACGTCCTGATCCCGAAAAGATCAAGGCGATCACCGACTGGCCTGTGCCGGTCGATGTCAAAGGTCTTCGAAAATTCCTTAGCTAGCGGCGTATTTGCATAAGTATTCACGCAATTACGCCGAGATGACTGTACACCTCTCTCGTTTGTTGAAAAAGAACGAGAGGTGGTTATGGAACGCTGAATGTCAACGCTCCTTTGAGGGTATCAAGCAGAGCTTGATACAATCCCCAGTCCTAGCAATAGCCGATCAGGACAGGCCATTTCATGTGGTCTGTGATGCCAGCGATTTCGCAATCGGCTGTGCATTAATGCAGTACGACCTTGAAGGCGTTGAACGCGTCGTCTGCTATCAGTCGCGTCAGCTGCAACCAGCTGAGCGGAACTATCCAGTGCATGACAAGGAACTCCTTGCCATGAAGTATGCACTCGCGAAGTTCAGAGTCTATCTATTAGAGATAGACCCTTCGTTGTTTACACTGACCATGCG